GGGAGGGGCGGCTTGTTTTACAACGTCGTTGCCAAGCGACGAAAACCCAACCCCGATGGTAAACACCGGGGGGGGGAGCAAGGGGGGCGTACTCTTTATGTTTTGCATGCATTAGCGGTTAGACCATTGACCACGAGTCCTCGAGAGGACGCAGCATTCTTCCCACAGGACCGATCATCGATGGCCAATCGTTCCTTCCTACTTTGCCAAAGTTGGCTCACAAATATCTTCCCTATTCTATCTATCCTATCGATAGCACCTCTCGCTTTTTCGGGGGGGGTAGGGCATGCAGAGGGTCAAGTGAGAGCTGAAGAACAGACGCTGGGGTGTGTACGGAGACAAGGAGGTTGGATAGAGGGTGATTTCGGGGGGTTCTATTTTGAAGGAGGGAGACACCACTGGGGGGATGCCCTTGGCGGACATCGCGAGAGGCGGGAGACCGCACGACGGGTACCAACAGGAACGACAGCCGACACGGAACAGAAATAACCCGCCCATGCTTGAACGCACAAAGTTTGGTGTTGCTTCGGCCGTACGCCGGAGCCACCAAGCCTGAAAGACACTACCGTCACCACTCTCTGTCGGGCAGACACACAACTGCTGTACGCACTACCCGTATGATTTTCAAGGAGCGGCAGGCTCCAAAATAATTCACCAAGGTGACGAAGGAGGCATTGCATGCAGGAATCCAGCAGCAAAAAAAGCACCAGCTACTGCCAGGTCTCAACAGCAGCATCCTTCTACAGATCGTAAAACGCCACGATATTCAACCGCATACCAGCCGCAAGGGAGACAACTATCGTACTGCACGGCAAAGAACGCAATGGCACAGCCCATGTACAACCTGTCGGGAACGAGCCTTCCCTGCGACAAAGAGAGGAGAGGTTGAACGAGACACACAGAGAGAGAGGGGGAGAGACAGGGAGAGAGAAAGAACAGAGCTACAGCAATAGCGTCGCTTGGTGGGGGACAACACACGTTCCTGCTATGCATTTACCTGCCGGAAGACGAGCCTGAGGCACTTCATCGACCCGTCGTCTCCGGTGTCGCCGCCCTCGAACTCCAGCCCCAGCCGCCGGTAGAGAAGAACCCCTTTCCCTAGCACCGACAGCTCCTCTTCCTGCATCACCGCAACACGCACACCACACCACATCCTCTTCCTTATCATCATCATCATCATCATCATCATCATCAACAACATTGACAGCGTTATCGTCATGATCATCAACACCAACAGCAGCATCAACAACAAAAACATCATCCATCAACAACAACAATCATCATGATCATCAACAACAACAATGACAGCATTATCATCACGACCATCAACAACAACAGCAACATCAACATGATCATCAACAACAACAGCATTGACAGCATCATCATCATCATCGTCAATACAACATTACTCTAAGAGCCCTCCCCCTCGACAACCATTTCATCGCGACATACTTTATTATCGACAACATCAAACCCTGCGCAGATGTCATGCTGAGATATCCACCGAGGCATGCCTCCATCACATGAATGCCGCGCAATGTACAACCTCAAGCATGATACTTCAATCATTGGGCAAGAAAAAACGGCAATGGAGCCATTTTGCTTCACCGTCTCGAGTACCATTATAAAGCGCGCCACCAAATTCCAAATAAAAAGGAACCAATCGAAGCCAACAAGAATGCCAGGGACTGCATGCGACAGGGACAAAATTGACGACACCGTATTTCCCTCCACGATCGTGCTTGGCAGCTGCGAAAGCGAAGAGATGAAGCATATTTATTTACCTTGACGTGACGGCGGGTGAGCATTTCCCCCTGCTTCGCCTCAAGGTTCTTCGCGATTCTCTGGTGCTCGGCCCCGAGAACTTCCAGCTGCCAAGCGTGGGCCAATCCCGCCAATCATGGAGAAGGACGACGACGACACCGCGGCCGAGGGAGAAGAAGCGAACAGCGGCAAGAGCATATAGATAAATTTACGTCGAAAAGAGGGAACAAAAGAATTGTTCAGAGGTTGCGAAAAACGGCATGCAGAAGAATAACACACCACCAAGAAGAAGGTGAAAAACGGGCGAGTCAAGCACCACTGGCGGCGCTACATATTCGCTCGAAGGGTGCAGCGCAGCAGAGAAAATTTGCCAAGTATTCAGCGGTGATAAACGCAACACCGTTGGCTTTGGTGTTGTGCCTGTGGTGTAAGTCGAGTACGGCATGACCCACTCACACACCGCAACTTTGTACGAAGATTGCGCCGCCTTTGTCGCACTGCGCTAAAGCAACGGTACAAACAGTGACCGTGCTCGACCTTGTCCCGAGTTACCCTCCTGCTCTCATGTTCTGCGTCCTGCTATAATAAGCGTTCGTATTACGTATACCAGCTTGCAAAAAGTGCTGCTTGTGAGGCAGGCAGCACAACCACAGCGGCGCCGTTGGTTCATGCATACCTTGGCGGGCATCTCTTCCCGCTCCGTTACTCTCAGTTCTTCCAGCCGCTTCACCTCCTCCTGCAAGCAAGCGCGCACACACGTGCGAGGGAAGGGACGCACATATTAGGTGCCTACTGCTGTTGCAGTCTTACCACGCGCCCCTTCCCAGACGGAGTTCTTAGCCCTACGAATGTTCTTTGCGTTGGTGACACACGGTGGGAGATGGTGCACCGGTTGGAAGGGGGGGCGGGGGGACGACACTGGAATAGCGGATGTAGAACGTCACCACCATATTCTATCCTGAAAGCGACATCAACGGGGGTAGGGCGTAAGCCGTATCACGACGGCCACGACGAGAGTTACAGCAGCAGTGACACAACAACACAACAAGGAAAAATAACAGCAAACCAGAGACGCATAAAGAGGCACCATACAACTCCGTCGCCCAGCCGTCACGCCACCGACGACAACCATCACAACGGCCATAGGAGGCGCACAAGAAGGCACCGACGACCTCACGACCTAACCGCAGTGCCATTAACAACACCAACAGAGCCAAGACAGCGAGCGGGAAACGAGCGAACCCTGCCACTTCATCAAAGAGTCACGATTTCAGTACGCTTGAACCGTTCAAACCGACCTGAAGCTGCTCTTCCTGCTTCTTGACCACGGCGGCGCAGTGCGCTCGTCTTGCGGTTGTGTCCTTGTCCGCCTTTCGGAGCTCCACTACCTCTGCCGCGCGGGCTTCCATCGTCTGCGCGTAGTCAGACTGCAATCAAGTCCACCAAGTGAAACGCGTTATTGAAACAGTGGGAGGGTGGCGAGCGTACCCTCGCGACATAAGATGGTTCATTCACCCGTTCCAATGGTGCCCTATCTCACTAACCCTTGCGCTCCGAGACATTTTTTTAGGCCTGTCCTCCATCGGCCGTTTTGCTTGTATGACGGAGAATAAGAAGGTGGAATTACTTGAAATTAGTATAGAAATAAAGTTTGTGTATCTAAATCGAAAATAAAACGGCCGATGGAGGACAGGCCTACATTTTTTACAAGAATGTAGGCGTCACGATTCCGTGGGTCTCGGGCTAGTCTATGGCTGCTGGGTTAGACGGGCTCCTGTTAAATAGGACAACAGTATTCAACTCTATCCTGGTCCATCAGAAACCCTCGCCTGACCCTTTGCCATCTTATTTGAGGCTATGCTGAGCAGCGGTGTCTATCGCTGGTTGCTATATAAGGAACACGATACACCGACTTTGAGCACCCAGCTTCCCAGGTGGCATGTTTGCGAGTTTACAGCAGCTTGCATTACAAAGGTTGAGAGTTTACAGCAGAGTTTGCATGACAAGGTTGAGAGTGCGGCGCAATCAAGAAGGCCTCCCGCGATCAATCGAACGCATTTTTTTTTCTGTGCTACTGTATATATCTTGCATGTATTGAGTTGGAGTGAGGCCTGTATTTCTGTGCGCAGAAGCAGGTGTGTGCCTACTCGCTCTCTGCGCAGTGCTGTATGCACCCTTCTTGTGTACAATCGCGGGATGCTCTCGTAATTTTAATTGCTGGCGCGCTCTTTCAACGCTGGTAAGCTAATGGCACTTGGCCCTTTTGGGTTGACCAACGTGGTCCTTCCACAGCAGCATTACACCGACAGCTACTAGAAACACTCCAAGACTTCCGTCGAAAGCGCAAGGACTTGTTTGGCTCACCTGTATCTCGGCAAGCCGCTGCTCTCTCTCGGCTACCCAGTTGTTGAGCTGCACCTCAGCGTTGTGCATCTCGGAACGGAGCTCCTTGCTCATTCTGTCGGCCATCTCCGCCATCGACTCCATCGTCCTCGTCTCCGCGTGATCCATCATGACTGAACCCATGCTTCTCGAAATCGTCCAACCCTCCAGGAATGCTCTATCTCACTCACGCCTCCTTCAAACTAATACTTATGTGCTGACGGCAAGTACAGCTGGCGACTTGGGCTGCGAAAAAACACACAACGGATTTTTTTCGGGGTTTCCATTTTCTTCAGAAGCCGTGTTCTTGTCGTTCCATTGTCCTCGGACCGAGTCTTAGCTAGATTTTGGGATTAGTTAATGACACGAGTTTAATGTTAAGAACAACAACAACAACAACAACATAACAATTGTTTTCAGTTTTTTTTAGAAAGTTAACATATTATCTGTAAATCGCCCTCGAAACAACGGAACCAACCCGTACACTACAGCAGTAGCAGACGCTGCTGCTGATACCCACGCCTGTTGTTCACTGCTGTTGCTCTATCAACAACGCGCGATATATATGCACATTTATATTTCCTCGACTGGAGGACCAAATCTGCGTGTGGGTGTGTGTCCCGGTCGTACATCCAGGACTACAGCAGTAGGTGCACATCCACGCTTAGACTATCAGAAGAACAAGGAGGGCTACAGCAGTGCATCCAGCTAGCTCTCCTTCCCTCTTCCCGATGGATATGGTGTTGTTTGCTGAAAAGCGGTCGCTGTTGAAGGGGGTATTCTTTCGGCGCCTTCAGTTTCGTCGGGGTTTTTTAGGAAAGGAAACTGACATTTTTTAACGTGCGGGTACAGCATCGTTCGCGAACACCCGCACACGCGTTTATTGTTGGGTGGTTTATGGTAGTAAGGATTAGAGGAACACCATCCACATGGGTTTGTATGCATACGGTACACTGTGGACCCTCTTGTTTACCATGTAGACTATTCAAGAAGCGTCCTTCCGTTGACGCCGAAAGGTGGTGACGACCACAGATTTACAGCAACTGCCAAGGTTCGCAGGGGGCGGAATATTCGAACATTCGCACATGAGGTGTTTAGGTTGGCACGGCAGTCCGTGAAAGAAGCAAACAGAGCAGTTTTTCCGATTTCCGCACGCGGATCTTCTCACGGCTGTCGTATGTTGAACCGAACCGTGCATGGTCAAGAAAGTCCGAAGAAGCGACCAAGTCTCATCCCTCGCGTTGTTGATTGACCGCATCTGTGAGTACAATGCGTCGACCCAACTTCGTCGTGTAACGAGCCAGGAGAATACGTTCGTGTAGACAAATCAGACTTTCCTCGACCGGGGGAGTTTGCAGCGCGCCGCAAAGATCATGAGCGAAACAAGCCTCGCTCGATCTGATGTATTTTTTTTGGCCGGTCAATCCCTGCCAGCGTCTGATCCTCCCAGGACACATCCAAAAAACTGTAGTGTGATGGCCACCACGCTGAATAGCAAACGACGGGTCAGGCAGGCTGGCGTGGATCAACCACTAGCTTCGAGCTTGCGGGGCAAAATAGTTTTCGCTTGTTGTGGTTGACGCCTGGCCAGGCGAAACGAGGTAGCCCGTTTCGCGTTGGACACACCGCTTGCTGTCTGTGCTGGATGAAAGCTGCGTGGCGTCATGTGCGACAAATGCTTCAAGTACCCTTCACGGACTCCCTTTAGCCTAGTGATTCCAAACGGCAAGAACAATTCGAGCTACACTACAGGTCACGCGTCTCGCCAGCGGCACGAACCGCGCGGGTCAGTGGAGATTCCATATGCCAAGAACAATTCGCGCTACAGCAGCAGAACCGGCCACGCGTACTGCCAGCGGTGTACCACGCGAGTGCTTCTATCGTGAAGGACAAATACCCACTCTCCCTTCTGCAAGCCCTTCCCGACCCGCCGAACAAAAAATCACTTGTTTCTTGTCAGTGTCCGCTGCTTCTCCGCGGCGACTACAATCTTGTCGTTCGTGGCAAGCCCCTTCCGTTTTCTAACCCCGTCCAGGTACTGCCTGGCAATATTGGTCACGCTCAAGTGGCCCTCTTCCCCCTCGTCCTCTCTCTCCTCTTCCGTCTGAGGCCGCCAGAAAGGGTCCAGCTCCATCACCTGCGGTTGCGGCAGACGTATTGCACGAAAAACGTTTCGGAACATACGTTGGCGTTTGGCATACTCGGCAAAAAAGTCAGACCGGCCAGGGGCGGGGGTACCCATAGCAGCGCATGCCGTAGTCGTTAGATCGTTGTCCTCGCATCCCTACAGGACGGAGCACACCGGGTTTTTACTGGACCAGGTTAACACATCACCAAGCGCGAAGCACCGGGGGGGGGGGGGGGGGGGGG